GTCCTCTGCCCTGTCTGTGTGTCCTCTGCCCTGTCTGTGTGTCCTGTCACCTGTCTGTGTGTCCTCTGCCCTGTCTGTGTGTCCTCTGCCCTGTCTGTGTGTCCTGTCACCTGTCTGTGTGTCCTCTGCCCTGTCTGTGTGTCCTCTGACCTGTCTGTGTGTCCTGTCACCTGTCTGTGTGTCCTGTCACCTGTCTGTGTGTCCCCTGCCCTGTCTGTGTGTCCCCTGCCCCGTCTGTGTGTCCTCTGCCCTGTCTGTGTGTCCTCTCACCTGTCTGTGTGTCCCCTGCCCTGTCTGTGTGTCCCCTGCCCTGTCTGTGTGTCCTCTGCCCTGTCTGTGTGTCCTCTGCCCTGTCTGTGTGTCCCCTGCCCTGTCTGTGTGTCCCCTGCCCTGTCTGTGTGTCCCCTGCCCTGTCTGTGTGTCCCCTGCCCTGTCTGTGTGTCCTCTGACCTGTCTGTGTGTCCTCTGCCCCATCTGTCTGTGTGTCCTCTCACCTGTCTGTGTGTCCTCTCACCTGTCTGTGTGTCTGGCCCCTCAGAGCGAGCTGGGGAACTTCGCCCGGAGCTCGACCCTGCTCCGCCTGTCGCTCCACCCCAAATTCCAGACCCTGTTCCAGCCCTGCAACCTGCCGGGAGCGCTGAGGCTGGTGGAGGATTTCCATGCCCAGGTGCCCGTGGACTGGAGCCCCAGGAAGGCCGTCAAGAAGAACAACGGTAGGTGAGGGGAGGGCAGGGGAGGGGTTTCCAGGGAGGTCATTCCGTGTGTTGTGGGAACTTCCCAAGTCCCTTTTCCCTCCAGGCTGTCAGTGCTGACCCCCCCAGTCCTGCAGCTCCAGTGCTGACCCCCCCAGTCCCAGTGCTTCCAGTTCCCTGCCCAGCTCAGCACTCGGGGGGTGGTGCCCCCAGGGAGGGACTCCCAACCAAACCAGGAGATGGATGGGTTGGGTTGGATTTGGGGTAGAAACCCTTCCCTGGGAGGGTGGGGAGGCCCTGGCACAGGATGCCAGAGGAGCTGTGGCTGCCCCTGGATCCCTGGGAGTGTCCAAGGCCGGGCTGGAGCAGCCTGGAATAGTGGGAGGTGTCCCTGTCCCTACCACTTCAAAGTCCCTTCCATCCCAAACCATTTCAGCATTCCAAGAATTAATTAATTTTTTTTGGTGAGGTATTTTTAGATAAAACCACCCCCTCGGCTCCTTTTTTGCTTCCTAATCTTACAACAGAATAAAGCACCTTAAACAACCTGCTGACTTTTATTTACCATCATAATCCAGCCACTTATTGTCCTGCAGATGATATTTGGAGCTGCAAAAGTCCATCAGGGGGCAGTGAAACTGGAATTAATTGTTCCAAACGTGTTGGTCAACACACATCAAGGAAATACTCCTTTCCTTGGGGGGGAAAAAAAAGGCTTTAAGAACTGCTTCAAACATTTGGTTTGGGATTTTGCTGCTGCTTTCGAGAGGGAACTCATTGGAAATACTTCCAAGAGCTTTTTCATTATATATATAATATATATCTCTATATAAATATATAGATAGAGATGATATATAGATATATAGATATACATAGATAGATACAGATAGATATAGATAGATATAGATATAGATATATACATAGAGATATAGATATAAATATATAGGTATGAATATATAGATATATAGGTATAAATATATAGATATAAATATATAGATATAGATCTATAGATATAAATATATAGAAATAGATATAAATATATAGATATGGATATATCTATATGAATATATAGATATATAGATATTAATATATAGATATGAATATATAGGTATGAATATATAAATATAGATATATAGGTATGAATCTATAGATATAGATATATAGATATAAATATATAAATATAACTATGTAAATATAAATATATAGGTATGAATCTATAGATATAGATATATAGATATAAATATATAAATATAACTATGTAAATATAAATATATAGGTATGAATCTATAGATATAGATATATAGATATAAATATATAAAT